TACACACACACACACACACACACACACACACACACACACACACACACACACACACAGAGTACGTGAAAGCAGTATTCACAACCCAAGCCTCTGCCTAACAAGAACAAGCGGTAGGCACTGCAGAAAACTATGATCTCCTTTGCCTTGTAAAAAACCACTCACAACATATCTATCCTTTGTAGCCTTTTTCAGATCATCTCTCACAACGATACGGTTGCCTTGCAAAGCAAAATACTGCTGGGCATCGGGGCTTCCAGTGATCCTGTACGATGTCGTATTGAACTGCAGAAATAATACAGAAATGGTTAGAACCGAAAGTCAATTCACTTGAACTTTGCTGACATTTTTTATTTGAAGTGAACATTCCACAAAACTCCATTGACCTCCATCGAACAACTTTTTTTTTTACAAACGCATACTTATGTCTCTCATACAAAAGAAGTATTAGGCTTAACTGAAAGCAACAGACAATTTGAGAACATAATTTATTGAAACATGTTTTTTTCCAGTGGATATTAGGAATTATTCAGAAGGCCCGCTCTTGTTCAACCTTCAACGGCTCAGCAGTCTTAAATGGGTTAAACACATAAATTGGCGCTCATATGACCTTATGAGTAATTTTTTAGACTCACGTGGAGCACGTGGAGCGCGTGGAGACGTCTAAACAGCCGGGTGATGAAATCTACAAGCTTACACTGAAATGTGGGGGCAAGGTGGTGTCGCTGTCTCAAAATGAGCAATTTGTAGACAAGGCTACTGTAAGTCATTTATTTCAGTGATCCTGTGTGTACGCATCCAGAGAGCAGTTTTTAATATAGGGCCCAAAGAGAAAAACTTTTTTTAGTACTGGATCGAGATATTTTTTTGTTGAATATTTTTGTTTGGTCGCCGGCCTGCAGAAGTGCCATGCAAAGTTTGTTTTTTTAGCTTTAGTTTTAGTAAAAGTTTTACGGCACTTGCAACACAATAAGGTCATATAAGTGCCGAAGAAAAGATGTGTTACAAGAGAGTAACATACACAAAAAAGAATGAGGAGAGATAAGGAAGGAAGGAGCAAACCACACCAGAGCGCCCGCCAACCACCCACTCAAAGTTTCGTGGGCATAGATAAATTCCTCAATGAGCTAGAATTTTTTAACAGGGTTAGACAAAAGTGAACAAGCTATAGTAGAGCATATCTTACCGCTGAGCCGGAATCCTGAGCATTGACGGAGATCACACCTGCACCGATCGCTTCGGTCTCGGCCACGCTGGTGGTGATTGTCTCCTGAACAAACACAGGCCCCGCGGTGTTGCGAATCACATTGACCGTCAGTGTTGCAAGGTCAGTAGCCGTCTTTGAAGGGTTGTCTCTCGTGCCCCCGTCAGAGACGCGAACAGTCACCTGTGCACATGAAGAATAAAGCATTTCACAAAACTGAAGACAATTAAACATAAGCTCTCAAGCAATTTAATTGGTTTCAACTAAAAAAAGATTATTTCACATACATTTTGCACTTGCGTTTTTGCTGAAGAAAAGTAACATTTTCAATTATCTTTTTATCTATGTGATTGTGTTGACTGTATAGCAAGAGCAGATAATTTGGTTATGAAAAATCAAATAAATGCCCAATGATGAAAAAAACAACAGACGACATCCATATAGGAACTTCAAAAAATCTTAGAGATGTAAATAGAAGGCACTTAGAAATGGAAGATCCCGTTTTCCAGACAGGCCAAGAACTTTGGTATCTGTTTCGATTCAGACATGTCCATTAATAACCAACCAAGTAAATCAAGTCACTTGAAGTACATTGGTCTCAGAGGAACCAGTAAGACAGGGCACCCTTTTTTCTTTCAACTCATATTGCATGCATGCTCTCAAAACTTCAAAACTCTACTTTTTCAGCTCTGTTTTGTCTGATATTTCATCTGAGAAAAAGAGGAGATTGCGAGTGGCTCAAAAGAACAGCTCAAGATGAGAGTTGAAGACAAAGAAGAAAGATCCATTCTGCATGAAAAATGTTAAAGCTCTACACTAGCTTCCAGTTGAAAAAAAAGATCCAAAAATAAGTTTCTACTATCTATCATGCCTCAACAGTAATGCCCCATCATATCTGAATGGACTTTAAACACCATATGGCCTGTCAGATAGCGCCATTCACCGATGTAACACAATTTAGAGCCCCTAAAATTCAATTAAAATCTTTTGATGAGACTCTAAATTTTTTTTTTAACTTTTGAAATTTGAAACTCCTTGCTTCAAGACCTCACAGAAACATCAAATCTGAATAAGTTAAAGTGATTGCTAAAGGCTCATTTGTTTTAATCAGTGTTGAGGTGTTTAACATGCGCTGATGTGTCTTGTTTTCCTTGCTGCCCTTATGTGTTTATAATTAACGTATGGCAGAGGAAGCTCTTCCTTATAATAATTGACCTGGTTTTCTTGTGCACATGAAATGTTTTTTCTTGTGTGTGAGGTTTATTCTCAGTAATCATGTCATCGGTGTGATATGCACAGAGTTTGCACTTGTATCGGAAAGACGGCTAAATCAATGCAATCTATTTTTTTTTCCTCACAAGCCTAATACTTTACCTTACAAGCCTAATACTTGACTGCATTTATAAATTCACTGACTCAGTCTTCTCGTTCTGTGCAGCGTCATAGAAAGAAAATTGCTCAAAACAATTCCTAAAAATTGCCATTGAGAGAGCTGGCTTCGGTCACATTCTACAGAAAACTAAGAAAAGAAAACAATAAATATACTTTTAAGTCATCTAAAAAATAAAACAACTTTCAAAATACAATGTCCTTTTTTTCCAATAATCTAATAATGTTCGTGTAGAGAATCTCTTCAGACAATGTACTCCGGTGCTCCTTTCTCACTCACCGTAAAGGTATCTATTCCAGTTCCAACCAAGGTCCGCCTAAGACTGACATCACCATTGGAGTCAATCTGGGCGTAGGTTTGGGCATTGGTATCACCAGTGATCACATACTGCAGGTCCTTCCATGGAGACTGGTAGTGAAAAATAAAAAGGAACAAAATCGGATTTTCAAAAGGGAAACAAATCAGATACTTACTTTACTTGTATTTTACTTTTACAATCAAGCAGCCATTTGAGTTCTAGCCCTTCAGCCAAAAAACCTGATACCAAAACTATATCTCCATTATATTCTTTCTGGATAAAAGCATGAGTAAATCTATTTAGAATTTAAAGTATAATGATTTGTTTTCAAAATGTAGTGACCTTTCAAGAATAAAAATGCTAAGAGCAATGACTGAACATAAAAATTGCGAGGAAAAAATAGGCAAACTACGCAAGAAGGAAAAGAAAAGAGTTCGAACCTTCACCAATCTTTCTTTTCAATTCCAATCCGCATCCCCACAATGATAAAAAACAAATCCCAATAAACAAGAAAAGAATGATATCAAACATACATTTGTATCCGAGTCTGAAGCCCGGATCCTCTCAAAGGTTTGTCCAAGTGGGTAGGTCTCTGGGATGGTTTGGGAGTAGGTCACAGGAAACACGCTTGGAGTGAACAGGTTGCGTTTCACAGGAACAGAAACCAAAATGGTGTCTGACAATCCCTTACTATCTGTCGCAACGATTCGAAGCTGGGGAGGACAGAGAGACTAGTTCTTCAACATGTCAAACAGTTAGTTTTAGTAGAGGTTTTACGGCGCTCGCAACTGCATAAGGTCATATGAGCGACAGAAGATTGGAGGTGTTACAAGTGAGTAACAAACATAAAAAAGAAGAAGGGGAGATAAGGACGACAAATGTTTGATAGGAAAGTAGGAGAAAACCACACCAGAGCACCCGCCAACCACCCACACATGTCAAACAAGATGAGTCATCTTTGAGAAATTATTTACAGCCACTCATCATGACAACAGCCAAACTGCACGACAGATAAGAGTTGTTTTAGTTTCAGTAAGAGTTTTACGGCACTTGCAACACAATAAGGTCATAGAAGTGCCGAAAATAAGGGGTGTTACAAGAGAGTAACAAACACAAAAAGGGAGGAGAGATCAGGATGATAGATGTTTGGTAGGAAAGAAGGAGCATACCACACCAGAGCACCCGCCAACCACCCACTCAACAGATTAGACAAACAGGCACATTAAAAAGAAGTAGAAGTAGCAGACTATAGCAGAGAACCCTCCAACCTCATATACGACATCAGATGGACACAGTTATTCAACGAAAATAACAATCAAAGTAGAATAAGCCAATATATATATATATATATATATATATATTTATTTTTATTTTTTTTTTTTTTTTAAATTCCAAACAATATGAGAGTGAAAATCAAACAACTAAACATTTTTGTACGGCACAAATTCCAGCACTTAACAATCCATACAAAAGTCCACGTTTAAAAATGAGGGGTCCAAAAAAAATCCTCTATTATCTTAAGAGCTTACCCTGTACGCTTCAGTGGTCTCAGCACCAAGGCCACTCCGGAGTCGAATCTCACCAGTATTGGCGTCCACTGTGAAGAAAGACCGTGCATTGCCATCGCCAAGTAGACTGTACGTTACTCCTGCAAACTCAGGCTGAAACACAAACCAAAAAGGAAAATAAAAATGTGTCGTTACGAAATATACCTGAGTTTTAGTATAAGTAAGAGTTTTACGGCACTTTCAACACAATAAGGTCAAATAATTGCTGAAGATTAGAGGTGTTACAAGAGAGTAACAAACACAAAAAAAGTAGGAGGCGAGATCAAGATGATGGATTTTTTTAATAGGAAAGAAGGAGCAAAACACACCAAAGCACCCGCCAACCACCCACTTAAACCTGAGCTTGACAACGAAAATTTGACAATGAACAGTATTGTTAGAAAAAAGAAAAATACACAAACGTGGCACAACTTATACTGCAAGGGTTATATGACGCTGATGATGATGATGATGATGATGATGATGATGATGATGATGATGATGATGATGATGATGATGATGATGATGATGATGATGGTGGTTATGGTTATGATGATGGTTATGGTTATGATGATGGTTATGGTTATGATGATGATGATGATGATGATGATGATGATACATATGTGGTACATATTAGGCATATATTTATACCACTAGTTACCATAGATATCCCCTTTCTTTGGCCTTTCCAATATAAATTTCTCGCACGCACCATTGAGCATTGTGACCGTATGTGTACACACTTTAGTTTCCACAGTCTAGTTCTAGTCTAGTCGTCATTAATCTTCTTTTTTTTTCTTAAGTTCCTGTGGGAGCCTTAAGCTGCGAAAATTTGAACATATAAAATTTTTGAAATACTACAGTCTCCACCGTTTTTTGTCTTTCCGATGTCTGCAATGATGAAGATGGTGATGGTGTGGATGATGATGATGATGATGTTGATGAGGAAATGATGATGATTTTTTTTTTCAAATGTTCCTGATGAAGCCATACGCCGAAACGTTGAACGCATTTATATAATACATTTTGGAAATCCTAAATCTACCAAGTCTCAGCCTTTTTTATTCTCTATTTACAATGATGATGATGATGATGATGATGATGACGACGACAATGATGATGACACCATCACTGTCGATGATAACAGTGGTCTCCTGCCAAAACCTACCTGCGTATTCTCGTTGGGATCAATAGCAGTGACAGTAGCGATGATCTGATTGGAACTCGGCAGTAGATTTTCATCAACAACATTGGCCCCAAAGGTATCCACACCCGGGCTACCAAACTCAGGAGGCAAATTCCTCAACACATTCACTTGTACAGTTGCCGTGGTGGACAGACTCGGGATACCCAGGTCATAGGCAAGCACCTCAACCTGGAAGCACAATACAACCCTCAAAACATGGAGGAGGAGGAGGAGGAGGAGGAGGAG